TAGAATATCTTCGAGCATCATGCATCATGGTGCTAGGCAGGCTTTAACTTTTGGGTCCTTGGTGCGTTGCGACTTCGATTTAGGGACGGGCCTTGTTATTTATTTAATGTAAACAGTTTGTTAGCTTACGCCCAACCCTTTCCGCCCTCCTCCTGCACCCGTCCCTCGATTCGCCCACCGCCCTCCCAGCGTTGAGTCTGCCCTCTTGAAGATGATGAATCGCTCTCACCTTACCTGGATGGACTGCCGTTGGAGCTCCAGGTCCCGACTCCCCATCTCCGAACAGCTTGCTGCCTCTAGCTGACTTGGAGCTTCTTTGACCCTTCATGCTGGTCACGTCGTCTCTGCGAGTGTGCCGCTGGTGGCTAATGGTGCTCTTGAGCAAGGAGCTGAATCCGGCGGCCTCGATGCGAAAGGTGGCGTGGATAGTAAAAGATACGATTCGTACATCTTGTACAAGCTACTCGTTTCTGTAAAGGTGTGTTGTTGAGCGATTTATTTATATATAAGCTAACCGTTACAATAGACTCGTCTTGTCAGGACAGCAAATGTATGTTATGCGCTGTCTTGTCTGGTTATCAGAGGATAAGAGCAGCATGTGTGTGTGCGCACACCCTCAAAATGACGCTAGTGTTGGCGAAAAGCTTCATGCCAGAGGCGGACACGTCCTTTCTCATCACGATATGAGGCGGCGACTTGTTTCTGTCCCGTCCTGCTCTGTAATCGGGCACAGATGTCTCAACAACTCGTGTAAGTTTATTCCCGTTTTCAGTTCTATAATCTGATTTGCTAATTCACGTTCCCTAACCTAGCAGTGCGATATAGATTATAACTCAGCATTATCATCGTCACCCCTCCCCACATCACGTTCTCCGCAATCATTCTTCAGCCCACAAGTGATCAAATAGATGTCCCACGCGATGCGTACGACTTCCCACAGATCCATCATTACCGGCGATCGACATAGCGTTCCTCCACAACCCATAGGTCTTTCCAGAACCTGCTCCGCAAACAATGTATCATGATCAACACGATGGAATTATTCTATGGCGATTAAAGCGATACTACGATTAATACGATAGAGCGATCTACGATAATCCAAACGGACCAGTATGGAGTAAAATCCTGCTTCCAAAAATATCCAGAAAACGACACACTGTGTCAATACTAATACCAAAGGCGCTTATTCTTGCGTTCCCCTGCAACACATGGCGTCTGTGAATCAACAGGGGCCATAGTCTCAATGAGGTCCTCATACGTCGCTTCTTCTCTCCATCCATCGGATTTCAGAGTGTCGATGAGCCGACCGGTGAAGACACCTCTCCGCTCCATTGTCCCGTCCTCCTTCCTTATCTGCTCCATCTTTGCCCACTCGCTCTTCTTACACGCCGCTAGAACAACATGAGAATCCCTGTCCGGGTACCAGTCCTTTGCCAAGATGGATCGATAACCGGGGAGGTCTTTCAGGTTTTGTTCGGCGGTGAGGAGCATTTGTTCGAGCGACGTATCCTCTAGTGCGGCTGAGGTCCGAACGTTTGAATCCAGCATTCTAGTGATGCTGCCGGCATGACAACAGTCTAGAATGCAAGTGATCCGAGATCCTTTCTCACTGACGATCTGGGAGAGGATGGTGTTGAGTTCCCGGTCGCTGATATCAGGAACAGGCACGCCATTGCTGTCGCGAGAGTCACGGTCCATGGGACAAAATGCCTCGACAAACTTGGGAGGACTTAGCGCCTTGTCGTCATCAGGGCCATCCTGGCTTGATAACAGATAGCGAGAGCCATGGCCCGCAAAAAAGATAATGATGGGATCTCCATATTTGATGTCAGGGTTGGTGATGAGACTGAGGAGGACAGATAAAATGTTTGCCCGGGACGGGCTGAGGGACGGAACTTCGGTGGATGTGTCACCGTAATGTGCGGGACCTAGAAGACTTTGGATGCGCTCGTTAGGCACGTGGAGGTATTCGACGAAGTATTTCTTCATTGCTAAGGCATCTGCGACGCAACCGCGCAATGGATAGGTTGAATACCCGTCAATCCCAATGAGAACAGCATAAACCCGACTGGGGTCGAAGAGTGGCTACATTGTTCCTCATCAGTAAGAATCCAATTAATCTAAATCCATCAAAGTGTATACTTACATCTGCTTCCCGCACGGTTGTTTTCCGAGAAAATCCATCCTGACGTTCTCTTATTTCAGATTCGGGATGAACGTTGGGGAGAGCTGTCGACGTTGATGTAGGGTAGGCAGCGCCATTACATTGGGTTTTCGGTTCTGTTTCTCGCAAGTTTTGCGCATAATCGTCCATGTTGAACTCGATCTCTTGGAGGTCGTGAAGGTCTCGCTCGATCCGTCCTCGGACCCATGACAGCGCGGGACGGAGGTACCTGCAAATACGCACCATGAGTAAAACCGTGCCGAAAACCTGTTTGACGCTCGTGGGGTCTTGAAGGCAGCGAACGGATATTCTCTTGCGCACTGACATATATGTATGTACGCCCTTATCGTGCAATGAAGCTGGCGGGCTAATCCCACGGTACGGGTAACCAAGTCCTTCAACAAGGAGAACCTCGTTGGAGGGCTTGGTTACTAGGTTATATCTAACAAAGCGAGGCTTGACTCGTAAGAAGAGGGACCGGTTCAGGCTTAGTGTCCTAGTCTATTAATACATTGTCATTGATGCTGAAGCTCGGATTTCCGTATTGGAATAGCTTAGCGCGCGCTTCTCGTCGCTTCTGGTTTCTCACCTTCAAGCTTCATAGCTGACACTGATTGTCATGTTCTGGACTCACTTCAATCAAAATCGGCAAACGAGTAGTTCACGGATAACTTTAGGACATATTTTTTCCAGTCGTCTTCGCCGTTCTTGGTGTCATACCTCATCTCTTGCCATATCGCTTTTCAGCCAGTAAACATGATTCTGCTATCGCCTGTCGGTTTCTACTTTTGCAGTCCATATTCCACTTGAAGCAGGGTACATAGTGTGTTAAATATCCCTGGGCAGCGGGCTGTAGACATTAAAGACGGAGGCGGTACGAGCTGGGACGGGACAATACGATGGAACCAACAGCCAGCAGACTCAAATGCGCGACGAAAGCCGATGCGGCCGCTGACCCTGGCATCCTCATCATCGATTACGCAATTTGTATGTTGGGGAAATCGTCACCCACATAATGCACTTCTGCAACATCATCAACCCAAGCACATCCCCATTTGTGACAACCAGGAACTCAGCAGTAAGATCGGTTATTGTTCCCAGTCCAGTTTCCTGAAGACACCAAAACAGCATCCGGATCTATTCCCGCCCATTCCCCGCCCATCCCTTGTCGCACCAGCACACCCTGACTGTCCACACAAAGAAAAGATGGTTGGCAGGTAAGAATACTTAAGTATGAGTATCAATGGTGTAGTTCCGGGGCACACTCTGCTCGGTATCGACCCGCTGGGGGTTCAAATTCCGTATTTGCTTTGTCCAAGTACTTTAGGGGCGACTCGCAAGCGCTCAGCGCTACTTTCCAACTTTTCACCATAGAGTACGCCAAGCACCTTGATTGCAAGGAAGCGAGATAAAATCACACTGAAGGATTGTACTCGTGCCATATTCTTGTATCATAAGTAGTGACGAGTAAATGTGAGTGGTGTACAGCATGTGCAACGAGAATGAGAAGCTAAACAATTGCAACAGCAATGTCAATAGCATAAACACAGAATCACTGATGATCTTGCCTTTTTTGAGATGGAGACGGCCATACCGCCCCCAAATGACTCTGAATGCGCCCGGTAGGGATAGCCCATCGCCCATCGTACATCCACATCCAGGATGGTATCACGAGATTTCGCAGAAAAAACATCGATGGCATTGGTCATGGCGTCATGCACGCGGTAGTGTAGCGATGTCGTTCTTAAATGTGTTTTCCTGTTGTTAGTAAGGGGCTTGCACCGAGCCTGTCGATCATATTGCCAAGATTGATTCCGCGGAATCAAAATATTCAGGAATGCCCACGAGAGCCCGATCCAGTGGCTAAGCCACAAGACTCGGACTACGCTCGAGATAATTGGCTAGCTTGGGGTAATGGAGTTAGGAATCGTGAAGTGCGGTCCTGAGACGCTATGAGAAAGGTTCCAGAGAAGTAAACTGCGCCATCCCAGCGTTGTTGTTGAGTCGTACAATCACAGCGTGTTGGGGACGCGATGCCGGAGATCTACCGATTGAGCGATTGCGAGAACTAGCGTGTTCGAAAGTATGCTGGTCCATCAACGTGTGCAGTAGCACTCGATGGAATGAGCCACGGAAGTAAAACACCGACTGTCGAGCTTCAGTAGCTCAGTGTTTCGGCTCGACAAAGAGTTGAGGCAGCCAGTGGATCCACTCGAGCGTGTGCTAGTGGTATCGTGGAAGGGAAACACGTCCGACGATGACCCCGACCGAGCGGTGGAGAATGAGTGCGAGCGCCAAGGTGCCATGCACGTTGGTCTAGGTGAGGGCCTTGAATGTAATGTTGAGAGGTGTACTCCCACATCCCCATCTAGCTGCGTTCGGCCGAGGTGTCGATGAAGGCTGAAATGGACATCCTGTGGAAATCATATCTCAACCGCGTAAAATACCGGGACCAGTGAATGGTAGCGGTAGCGCGTTACAAGGTGATGCGCCCTGATCTCATAAGATAGTGTCTATAGCCGTGAAAGTAGCTTTAGGGAGTAAACGCGTCGGTATTTGGGCTCGACGGAGAAATGGGGGGAGGGGGTGGGTCATCGAATCGGGCGTATCGTGGAAGGGAAGTACATCCATTCGGAATGATGAACGTCGTGTCGTGCGAGACGTGCATGGATGAGCGCAGTACTTGATGATGCGGTAGTTCCTTGGTGAGAAGACAAGTCCGAGTGGGTGAAGAAAATCGATACAAACATAACGATCTGGATATGCGCATACGTTCCATCTGTAACGAAAGACGTTGGGCATCTGGAGAGAAGGAAAGGAGAAAATGCCGTTATATGCATCAATGGGGTAGTGGTAACCTGGGTCGTTGCCATCGGCTTGTTTGTTGTAGAGTAACTTGTCGACCCGCCGGGGGTTCGATTCCGTCTTGATGCATAAAGAAAGAGGCTGTTGAAAATTTTCGAATTTTTAGTAGACTCTAATATAGTAGACCATGGTCTTCATAGTACGTTAAACTTAGAACTCGGAAGTTGGAAGTTGGAAGTTGACCTTGACACGAACATCTTAAAAGTCAATGCAACGGTTTGCAAACTCAAAACCACATGAGAATGTTGTAGTAAGCGTCATATTCTTCTATCCGTGGTGCACAGCATATATAATACAACGAGGGGGAGAGCAAAATGGAAAACACCGACAGCTGCGGCATAGTATCAGGCCCTTTCTGAGACAGACATGCACCTCGCGACCATCCCACAGACTCTACTGCGTGAAATCCTCTGCAAGTGCACATGGATGGCTGCAGGGCGGAGAAGAAAGTGAGCTCGGAGGAATGCGTAAATCCTCGACGACGAAACTGAACTCTACCCAAGAGCGAGCTCTTCCACGTAGAAGTGTAAGTATTCCCACCATGTGCACCACAAATCAAACCATGAGGGTTCGTCGGTGGAGAGTGAGCCATGGGATGATCAGCATCGAATAGGGTACGAATCGTGGGCACTTGACAATAACAGAGAGTCGGCGCCGAATCGAGTATTCTGTTCAGTTATCACACCTGGCGGTGGTAGAGGTACGGTCGGGAGACAAAACTAGAACGGTTTCCCTATCTCATGATCGGCCGGGACTTGTTCGCGTGCCAAAGAAGCGTTAGGGCCAGGGCGCCGCTCGCGTGGAAAACTATTTCACGGCGCAAGGAGGACGTGGAGACGATGAATAGTAGCAAGAATGAGCGTGTTCCTCGGATGTTGGCCCATCAATGCTACGTTTGCTACGGTCGACGAGGAGAGGGAGAGTATAGTGAAATCGAACTAAAAGTATCGAAAAAGGCGATACTGGGAGGTGTACATACCAAGCAGCTATTCTTTCCTGCAGCGTCGATTTAGGAGGGACGAGCGGGGTAGATGTTTGAGTTCAACAATTGCAGCTAAACCTTCCACTGATAGCTGTCTCTAAATCGACGTGCACCGTTTCCCTTTGTTGTATCGAAACCCCGTTCCTCGTGAGACTTCAAGTTGAATGGTGCGTGCTACACCTAGAGATATAGCGAGAGCCAGCAAGCAGGTGTTGGATGGAAGTGGTCCTCTATCCATGTAGCGATCTCCGAGTCATTCTTGAGCCTGTAGAGCGAGACTTGATCTCCACCAGATTGGTTCCGCGGAGGCAAAGTGTAGTAGGATCGACGTTATGAGAAAGGTTCTGCGGAAGTAAATAGGGAACTGGCAGTACGAGGTTAGAACTGCGGCAGTTGGGGAGGGGGTCATCGAGGGCAGCGCGCCAACGTCCCCGGATTTCGGAAGCAAGGTGCTCGGACTCGTTCTGTGAATCCGGTCAGCTGGAAAGAAAGCCGAGCGGTGTTGCACGTCGAAGTGGGTGTATCATTGATTACTCATGAGAAAGTAGGAGCAACGTGCCAACGTCGTGACTGGTCCAAGCGGGATATGATGTGGACGGCCCCATATGCAGAGTCTGGCAGCACGCGGCTTGAAGGGTAAAAGAGAAGGATGCGAGGAAAAGACAGGCGAGGTCGAAAATACAAATTAGTACGTGCATGTTCGACTTTTCAATCCCCCCTTGGTTGACAAAACCGTCCCTCGTAAGACTTGGTGCGTGCTACACCTAGAAGCAGAAGCCCAGGAATGAAGGGGAACGAGACCAATAACAGAAAGGTTCCGCGGAAGCAAGGGTCGGAAGGGAAACGCAAAGGCGGGCCCACGAAGAAAGGGAAGAGGAGGGAGAGTACAAGCTCCCTTCCCTTCGACTCGGAAGTATTGGGGGCCTAGATCGATATATCCTCCATGGAAGAGAAGGGTGAGTGATGGTGTAAGGATGGGAGCGTAGTCGGCTGGTGAACAAGGAAGATCCAATATGTGCTGGCATCAATGGGGTAGTGGTAACCTGGGTCGTTGCCATTCTGCAGTGACAACTTCATCGACCCGCCGGGGGTTCGATTCCCCCTTGATGCATATGTGTTGTAAATAAGGCTGTACCTCAGTACAATGCTTGTTAGACCTTTAGTCTTTGGGTTACAAACTCGTGAGGAGTTTGCCCATTGACTTCCTATATTTATACTAAACTACGCTTATTCTAGTAATTTCTATCCAATCATTATCTTACTCAGCATGCCGGAATGCCGGATTGCTCGAACTCTCTCGCATATTCCGACAATATGAAAGTCTAGATCGCCCGTGGATTGGAAAGGTTCGTTTCCTACGGCTTGTTCGGATGCTCCGCACGCGAAGAGGTAGTGCAAAGTCTGGGTTTCGGCAAAGAGGGGATAGGAAGTATACAGGCCCTATACTTGTGTTATCCTTCGCGTGCCCTGCTCGCTTGGGGTGCTGATGTATCGGTTGTAGAGACGAGTGTCGGTACTGTTAAGATTACATGCCCTGGTTGCTGGACGGGGCTGCGCCTTCCGGAGTAGGATGAGGAGACCAGGATTCTTAACTTCCGGGTAAGGATCGACATCGTGAAAAGGGCACAGCAGAAGCAAATTGTGAGCTGGAGAAGTTGATATACAAAGTCTCCCGTCGATGGTGGATCTTCTCGCAGCCCGAGATCCCATGGATTCGAAAAAGTTAGCCCAAGGACGTCGCGATCACTTCCCTTTCGCTCACGTTGTGAGTGTGTCAGCATGGGCTATCGCGTCGCCGTTGATGAGATGGCGTAGGCTAGCAAATGGCAACCCATTCATATTGGCTGAAGATTGTCTCCAAGTCGAAGCATGAACGCACCAAGGGACCTTTGAAATCTGTCTAGCACTGTGACGCTCGAAGATATTTTGGCGGGTTATGTGGGCCAAATTTCCCTTCCTTTCGCCTCCTATTTGCCTTTCATTCTTGTCTGTTAGTCCCCGCACCCGAAATCGGATGAAATGGTATGCCCAGCCGCCCTCTCATCGCATAAAGTCGGGCAAGGCAGTATCGGCGGACAAAGCTGATGCTCGACAGCGACAAGCTATTCCTTGGGACGCAGTGAGCAATAGTGGTCGGACACTTGGTTGTAAAGCAACTCCGGGGACTCCTTCGTGTGTCAGACAACGACTGGTGAGCGCTTGAGCAAAGTTACAAAGACAGGTGAGCAAGTCGCACTGACCACGTGGCAATATCCTCTTTGATTCCCGACTGTGACTTGGTCCACGGTTCAAGCTGCCTCACATACTCTAAGCTACAGTGAAAGAGATTGTATACAAGGAGGCTTGATATCAGGTGAGAGTTATCATTCAAGAGCGCTCATGAAACTTTTGGACGTAAACCATGAACCGCTCTCTAGGACCCTTGTTCACTGAACGTACCACCAGCATTTTAGTTGTTACGGATTTTGCATCGACACCTGGCTTAATTCCGTTCTTTCAGGCCTCTTCAGAGATTTCTTTGAGGGTGAACACAAACATTAGCGATTCGCAAAACGACCTAGTACTACAGGGCGAAGCTCAACTTCCGAGAAATGATGACGCCTAGATCCGTATCAGTGCTGATACCAAAGGCGTGTATTCTTGTGTCTTCCTGCAACGATCGGCGTCTGGCAACGGACGCAGAGCCTGAGGGTCTTGATGAGGTCCATATATGTCGCTTCTTTTCTGAGTTTACCCAACCTCAGAGCGTTGATGAGCGAACTTGTGAAGATACCACCCCACACCTCTGTGCCCGCCTTCCTTACTGGCTTCGCTTTGGCAAGTTCATCTTCTCTACACGCCGCGATAATTACGTGGGAATCCATGTCCGGAACCCAGTCACCTGCGAAGATGGATCGATAACCGGGGAGGTCTTTGAGGCGTTTCTCGCCAGCGAGGAGCATGTCGTCGAGCGAGGTATGTTCCAGTGGGGGAGCGATCCGGACTTCTGAACCCAATGTTCGAGTCATGCCTCCAGCGTGACAACAGTCTAGAATGACAGTGATTCGATGCCCTTTCGTACGGGAGATCTGGGAGAGGATAGTGTTCAGCTCCCGGTCGCTGATATCTGGAATGGGAATGCCACTGCTGTCGATGGTATCGCGGTCTATGGGACAAAATGCCTCAATGAATTTATGAGGGTGTCCATCCTCGAGCTCCTCGTCGAAATCAAGCACATTATCATCATCGCGGTCTGATGATGCATAGCGGGAACCGTGTCCAGCGAAGAAGATAATGATGGGGTCACCGTGTTCGATGTTAGGATTCGTGATGAGACTGAGAAGTAGGGATAAAATGTTTGCGCGGGAAGGGATGGAGGAAACGTCGGTGAATGATGTGTTGTGGCTGGTCTTCCGACCAAGAAGGCTTTGGATTCGCTCTTTAGGCACGAGGAGATCTTCTTCAAGGTATTGCTTCACTGCTAAAGCATCTCCTACACAACCACGCAACGGGTAAGTTGAATACCCATCGATCCCAACGAGAACGGCCCAAATGCGGCTGGGGTCAAGGCGCGGGCGGTGACTACACATTGTTCCTCATCAGTAATCCAAGCCAATAACAGGAAGAGTATGCCTACATCGGCTGCCCGTGTGGTTGTTTCCCGATGAGAGGGGCACAGAGGCTCTCTTTGCAAGCGCGGAGTATTGGCGTTATTGGGATCTGTCAACGTTGTTGTCGGACCAACGCCACCAATGTAGCGAGCTTTCGATTTTGAATCTGGCAAGACGTGCGGGAAATTGTCGACATCGTACCCCCTTTCTTGAAGGGAGGACATATCTTGGGTGATTCGTCTCAGAGGCAGCGGCATGGTCAGAATCCCAGCTTGACGCACTAGAAAGACGTCGCGTTATATATAATGAAGGAGATAAACATAGCGTCTCGGAACACATCCTCCATCATAAATCAGCGCCGTCTTCCTCGGGTAGTGTACAGTACGAGTTGCCATACAGCACTTGCGATTTGTTGGAATGATGCCCATCAATGGAAATGATCACATTGATCCTCGAGTATTAATATCGGGACTTGCTAGCGTGTCAACGAACAGCTGCCAGCTGGGGAGGATGTATAATAGATTTGGTAAAAAAACCGCTTTCATTTCGGGCGCGTAACGTCCACTGTCACCCCGCATAAACATAAAAAACTTCGAAAAGGTGATGTGCTGTCTCGACGACTCCACAACCAAAACGGCAACGAGGAGAAATGTCACCCATTCTCCAAGACGAGAGAAGTGAAGCGAAGATGATAAATGAGAGTAGAAGAGGAGTTAGAAGGAACCATCGAAGCGTCAGGATATCGCAAGGCACGATGTTCCCTAAGGCCAGGCCGGCCCGTTCCCTAACCGGGAAGAAAACACCGTTCGTCTGCGGGACATGTACAAAAGGAACCAATAAGCGTAATCGGTGGACGATTAGCATGCCGGATCCTGCTATGTATCAGTTTTTGACGCGGCCCGCACCTGAAGACCCTGTAGAGGCTGTGCCAGATCGAGTCATTGACCCCGGCGTAGGGTGATAAGAAAGTTTAGCATACCGAATCCTACTATGTATCAGTTTCTGATGCGGCCCAGTAGTATGACGCCCTGCACCTGAAGACCCTGTAGAGGCTGTGCCAGATCAAGTCATCGACCCCGACGTAGGGTGATAAGAAAGTTTAGCATACCGAATCCTACTATGTATCAGTTTTTGATGCGGCCCATCATGGTAGTATGACGCTCTGCACCTGAAGACCCTGTAGAGGCTGTGCCAGATCGAGTCATCGACCCCGACGTAGGGTGATAAGAAAGTTTAGCATACCGAATCCTACTATGTATCAGTTTCTGATGCGGCCCAGTAGTATGACGCCCTGCACCTGAAGACCCTGTAGAGGCTGTGCCAGATTGAGTCATCGACCACGACGTCAACATAGGGTGATATTCTTCTCCGTGGTGTCTTATAATACTCCTCCAGTACTCGATTATCGATGGCCCTAGCGCAGCTAAATATGACCGAGCGTAAACCAGTGCCCACTACCTGTGGAACTTGGTAGAAATACCAATAAAGACACACGGTTGATCGGAATGATCGCTTGGCGTGTGCTTCTGTGCCTGTTCCTAACCACGAAAATCCTTAAACGATAAGAGGAAGTGGAGGGAATCCGGAAAACATCGCCGTGGGCAACGTGTTGTCTGTTATACCCCCAAATTTATTGGATCATCATCAAAAAATCTATTGGGACCGCGCCTTGTGCCGGTACCAATGCTAATACCATCATTTCGATCAATTCGTCATGCTGTGTGAACTGTGACCAGTGTTGTGTGCCGGTCAACCGACTAGTCACAAAGTCCGGCGAAAGTCACAAGTCGGTCACCTAAGGACGTACGAAGGGGGCATGGGAGGCTTCAATGGGACATCTGGTTCGTCTTGCGTCTGTTGCTCTTCTGAGTCCTTATCTTCTTTGGAAACCGGATTGCCCTCTCCTGCACGATCGGTGCCTTCAACAGGCAGCTCCGGAGACACTTGATCACTAGACAGATCCCCTGGTAGGCGTGTTTCCTTCTCCCGCTCCTCTGCTTGTTCTGACACCTTGAAATATTCGGTATTGCTGTCAGCTTTAGACCAGCATTTCTTTCCGGTTTTTTAACCGAAGTCAAACCGAAGTCGGCCGTTCGCGATGGCTGTGCAGTGCCCTCCCGTTATGGTAAGGACAACATCAGATGAAGACATTTTGTGACTGTGAGATAGTCAAGGCAAAAAATGACTTTCGGACTTGCCTCGGGCTAGTCGGAAAGTCAGGGCAGCGACTTACGACTTTGAGTCGACGCCCTTCCAACACTGACTTTGACTGCATTGGCAAGAAAATTTGACCATTAAGTACCTTTTTAAGCAAACCTACAGGCCCTGTGATCTGTGGCCCAATAAAGAACGGCCGGGTCCACAGCCCTGGCGGCCAGTAGTAGTACTTAGCTTGGTCGGTAAAGTTCATTCCTTCTGAAAACTGTAACTACGAAAACTAATACTACCAAACACTGACTTTCTTGCGCAATGCCAACTCACGGTGTCTCCGAAAACTGTAACCTCAAAAAACAATAAAACAAATATCTGTCGAGCCTCGGGCCCCCAAGGCACCCACCCCAATGCAGAAAGGACAGACCTAAAGGCTGTAGGCCCCAAGTAGGTCCCCTTCGCTTTCTAAACGTCTTCAATCAAATCTACTTAGCCAATCCTGTTACATGGATCTGGATAATCTTCGGACATTTGTACTGGCCAAGTAGGGTGCAAGTAGGCTTATCTCTCCATGATCTCCACGCGCCGTGAGAAAGTCGGGGACTACGCTTATTGGTGACATCGGGAATTAGGTATGACGAAGTCGTGTGGCTATCGTTGGACCTGACGCTCCCGATCTCATTTTTGCTTCCGCTGGTGGTTAAAACCTCGGCCTGCAGAGGGGGAGGGTATAAAACGAATCGTAGCCACATTGAGAGGTGTACGCATACCAAATTATGTTCCGGCTAAGGGGAGACGAGGGTTTGGGTTCATGTTCCCAAATCAACGTACGGTCCTGGAGTTGGTGCTTTCAAGCAGGTGTTGTATTTTGGGTCGCGGCTGGACGTCTAAGAGCAGGACTTCATCTGCAGTAGAATCGATGCCATGAGAAAGGTGCCGCGGAAGCAAATAGCGAAGGCGGTTGGGAAATAGACAGCACACTGCCTCTTTTCCGTTCGATCCTGGAGTTGGTGTCGTTCCTCGTCTGGGTCGCTGGGAATCTCCTCAGTATAAGCAATCTCATTCTTGAGCGGGACTCAGATTGGTCCCGTGGAAGCAAAATAGTACGCGACGAGAAAGTTTCGAGGAATCGAATAGTGAAGGAACTAGGTTGGGGCTGCGGTAGCAGGGAGATAGACCGCACGCGCGCCTTGTACCGTCTCTTTCCTGGTGCGGTGCGAGTTGTCACGGAGTCAGCGCACGCACCTTGTACCATCGTGCGCTGCGGTCGTCGGAAGGGAAGGCCATCGCGCACAAGTCCCTAGGAGGCATAGCTGAAGGTCGTATCTCTTGAGACGCGTCAAAAAAGACCACGAAATCAGAATTGGAACTTGTCCGTCGCTCCTGGAAATGCGAGAACAAGGCTTGGAAGAGAAGAGTGCGTGCTGAGGAGGGAGTACCTGCGTAAAAGGTCTGGTCAGCAAGGAAGAGATGACAGCTGTCTGCATCAATGGGGTAGTGGTAACCTGGGTCGTTGCCATGGTGTAATCCTTACCACATTCATCGACCCGCCGGGGGTTCAATTCCCCCTTGATGCATGAATGTAACACGCTTCAATTTCTCCTCCTTTTTGTCAAATGACATACAGAAATGCTCTCGAGAGTCGAGTAGGCCTAGCTTAAAGTCATTGTGGTATGTTCTTCTAGTACTATTACAACGTTGCACGGATGGAAAACTAAACAGCAGGATCCCGCCCGGGGAATGACAAAATAGCACCCGGAGGAGGGTCGAGCGGGGGGATTCAGCAAGCACCGAGTTGGCTCTAAAACGACTTCCCCCGTCTACGTTCGGCGGTGTATCTAAGAAGCGTTCCTCGGGGTTGATTTGGGAAAAGATACAACTTGAATAGTGCGTGCGTGCTACACCTGGAAATATAACATGTAGAAGTTAGAGGTAGCAAGGATTCTGGGTCGCGGCTGTTCGATGGGAATGTTTGCAATCGTACACTCATTATAATCTCCAACAGCACAATATTCCATCCGGTTGCGCAGAATCGACGGATAAGGTAAGCGTAGTGTGCTTTCAAGGATCAGCAAGGCCAGCGAGTATCGTCAAGACCTACCTCAATATTATATCCAGACACTACGCCCCAACCCAATCGCCCTCGTCTCTAGAATCTTGAGCTCATGTGTAGTAATCTCGTTCTTGAGCCTAAGAGCGGGACTTGATTTGCAGTGGGATCGACGCCATGAGAAAGGTTCCGCGGAAGCAGATAGTAGCAAAGGCGGAGAGTACACCACCTCTTTTCCGTTCGGTCCTGGGGTTGGTGTCGTTCCGTCTGGGTCGCTGGGGATCAGGCTCAGTATAAGCAATCTCGTTCTTGAGCCTTCATCAGATTGGTCCCGTGGAAGCAAAAAGTACGAGGAATCAAAAACAGGGTTGGGGCTGCGGTAACAGGGAGATAGACCGTACACGCACCTTGTATCGTCTCTTTTGCAGTGCGAAGGGAAGGCCGTCGCGCACAAGTCCCTAAGCAGGAGGTATGGAAGGTCGCATCTTCTTGAGGCGTGGTCAGGTTGAAAGGCTGGAATTGGAAAGTCCGTCGCTCCTGAAAATGCGAGAACAAGGCTTGGTACTTAGAGAGTTGAGGAGGGAGTACTCGTGTAAAAGGTCTGGTCAGAAAGAAAGAGACAGCAGTCGTCTGCATCGATGGGGTAGTGGTAACCTGGGTCGTTGCCATTAGCCGTGCTGTAGAGAACTAAATTCGTCGACCCGCCGGGGGTTCGATTCCCTCTTGATGCATATCAAAGTCTCAATTCCATTTCCTTTTACTTTTGTCAACTTGCTCAATGCTTACAGTCACAATGCAGTATTATTGACCAATGACGATAACTTTAAGTCGAACTCAAATCGCGCAAGAGGATTGTAGTACAAGTCATCATATTCTTCTTCTATCCATATATCATAAGTAGTAATAAGTAAATGCGAGTGCGTGGTGTACAGCATATGCAATGTGGGAATGGAAAGCTAAACAACGAGAAAGCAAAATCGACAGCATGAATGCATATAATCACTGGAAGCCCGGGATGAGCTCGCCCTTTCTGAGGTGGAGACGGCTGTCCGTCCAACCCGCGGCTGTCAAATACACGCCCCACGCGGCATGGATGACTTCCCACAGACCATCATCATCAACGCCCAATGCCACGGTATTCTTCCAGAGCCCATGGACCGTCGACAGCCCGCCAAGGAGCTTGTGCTGCGTGAAATCCTTCGCGAGGGACTCTGCGACAACGAGAAGCTGGGAGTGGATCTCTTCGGCGGTTTTCGGAGACGACGAGAGATGTGCGGTGGTGGGGAAGGGATTGGAGGGGAGGGAGCCTGGCGGGAGGAGGGACGCGAGGAGGAGGTCCTGGCGGTGGGTGTACATGTACTGGCTGAGGAGCGCGTACGACTGGGGGTCGGGCAGGCAGAGCGGGTGGACGGGGATCTCCGAGGCTGCTGGTGACGCCTGGATAGTGCTGGGGAGACGCGGGCAGTGCACGGCGAGGACGTCGTGGTGTGCGGGGTGGAGGGTGACTTTGGTGGAGTTGGGGGCGAAGACGCCGAGGAAGTAGGAGGGGCCCTCTGCGGGTGCGTTGGCAGGGAGAGACACGGGGAACCGAGCGGGGATAGGAGTGTCTTTTGATGGGGTGGAAGGTGCGAGGAGGGAGAGCGTGTAGAAGAGCCGCACTCCAAAGTCGCGGACGAGGTTGTCCCGTGCGAAGAGGGTCGGTGCTTCGGGCAGAGCGAATATGGGTTGGGCGAGCTTCGGGAAGAGCTGGACGGTGATGAGCGTCTCCTTGGACGCACGATAGGTTTTGACGTCGAAGACTATCTGGCCGGGTTTCGCAACAGCGCGTTTTCGCTTGTGGAGAGGGGCTGATAGGGCCTTGCCGGCTGCTACGTGTTTGCCAGTGGTGGAGGCGCGGCGGACGGGGATGTTTTCAGCGTTGGAGGCGTTGCGTTTTCCAATCATTGTGGGTAGGCGGGGGATTTCTGGAGGGTACTATCGTTCCCCTGGGATTATATACTCCGTCTGCTCACACCAATCGCGTACAGCAGCCAATTCAGTTATTACTATACATAGGCATATAATCACATTGTTTGTACTTGTACGGCCCCCAACACTTGACATACGAGGTAATTCTCGACTAGCAATTGCCAGGGTCAGCTGATGTTTATTGTGTGAACCAATTCCGAAGTTTCGCTTCCATTCTCCTTAGTCTCGATATGTACTTCCACTTGTCTCCTTTGCGGGCCTCAATGTGCGCCACACTTGAGGACAATGTACAACTGAGGACTTTTCCAAGTTGCGATTTACTTCCGCGGAACGTCTTTGTTGGCGTCGATCCTTGCGTGGACAGGGCCCAGCTCGAGTTGCTTCATCCTCCTTGATTTAGGGTAGAGGGTTTATGTATTCCAGCAGTAACGAGGACCTTCCAGAAGGACAGGATAGATATGAGGTGCGTACAACCACCACTTCTTCCACGAAGCCTGCTCATGGCATCGATTTTCGACAGGCACTGCCGACGCAGAGCTCGTCGCTCTTGGACGCTTGGCTCCGCAATCTTTTTCATCCACCGCCACACTCGCCGACCCCCAACAGAGAGGTGCTCTTGGACACTCTCCCTCCTCATCTAAACGTTAGCGACGAATACGAAGGCTTTACTCACGACGACATGTACTACTCTATCCCCCGAATCTCTCCTCAGGCCTCAGCGACGAAAGCGGCAGACCCGCTAGTCCTGGACTCGATCTCCAGCCAAGTTGGCAGGAACATACTCAACTACCTCGATCACTTTAGGCGCTATGTCTGTCGCCGAGACAGCTGGACTCTCTGTGTACAGCCGCTCTACCATTCGATTTCGTGTCGCCCCACGTCGCGAAGACCCGGGTTATCCTTACCCCATTGCGCCGCCCAAATACGCTTTGCTCACGATCGTGCCACGCCGTTAACGGATCGCTTACTCCGCTGCTCTCAGGATATTTAGCACTCCCGCACTGGAGACGAACATCCTCCAACAGGGCGCATCGGATTGGTTTCTGAGGAGTGCCAGAAATTTTTACGACTTTCCACCGGGGTCCACCCACCCCATTGTCCTCGCCGAGAATATTTTTCGGGCATGTCCCATTTAGCAGCAGCAAATCCTGAGCCAGTGCTTTCTGAGCTCCGAGTCGAGCCAAAGGGTGTATTTTTGATGGCTCGGCCATCGAGATTCGAGGATCGCTCTGTCGTTTTTTCTCAATTCGCGTTAAGAATAAAATAGCTTGTACTACCTTCAATGAAAATCGTTACTTGACGCAGCCCTATGCAATCATCGATTTTCAGAAAAAGACATATACAAACTTCCACTGGATGCATCGATGGGGAGTCGAACCCGCAAGGAGTGTCATACTAATGACCACTGCCCTATTAAAATGCAACAGCTTTCTTTGTGTAACGTCCCCATCTGCTTATCTACACGCGCGGTCCCCCTTGTCTTACGAGGTTGTGAGTAGAAGGAGCCCTGTTAACTCGGAAAGAGAATGACATGGAGAGTTCTAACCTCGTCTATGCACTGGCCCGCGAAATAGATCTTGTAACCTTGAAAATGGGCAAAGGATACAAGAATCCACCTCCAAATTTCCTTCCGCTCAGGACAAAGTTCTCCGTGACGTGCCATATTCCACAAAGACTGCCGCGTGGGGTGTATTTTTTGACAGAGGGCTCAGGGTGGTGTTTCTCTACCGATGACATATTAACAGAAACACATTGAGATTGAGTGATGCATCCGAGTCCCAGCAGTGAGCACTCAGCACAAGTCAATGTTTATTCATACATAAAAGAAAAATAATAAAGACACATACGCAACAGAGATACATCAAGAGGGAATTGAACCCCCCGGCGGGTCGGAAATAGAGGGCGAAGTCAGTGCATGGCAACGACCCAGGTTACCACTACCCCATTGATGCACAATCTTAGCGGTTTTCCCCAATTTTGTATCTCCACAAGGTTTAGCGGACTTGCGCTCTTACATCAGGCCTCGGGAGCACGCTCGTTCTCACTACCGCCTGCCTCTCATTTTCCTTCCCAGTGGAACCTATCTTGGAAACTGCCCCCCAAGAAACGTTTCGTTCCATCCATCCTGCGCGAACTAGTCCTAGTTTCATCCAGCTCCGATAGAGGGTTTATTCAACCAACACCCCAAACACCGGCACTTTTACGTTAGACCAAGACACGCTGAGAAACCGGTTCAGCGTTTATGGCCTTTTCCCTCTGACTCGCGAACAAGTACTCCAGGACTACGGGATATCCAAGCTGGAGTTCTGTCTGCCGATTCGGACACTCATTCACGCACGAGTCTGAAGCTCCTGACACTCTTGTTCCCAATTCGCGATGCCCCACAGCTGGCCAAGATATCAGATCGGTGTCGATCCTTGCCCGTGCAGACATTGGGGTAGAGGGCTTATTTGATCCAGCGGTGCATTGAGACAGGCGGAAGCTCAGCTCCTTTTGACCATCTGATCTAGTGTGTCCAAAATTCAAATTCAAACTTCATAGGTCGTTGATAAAAGCGATGTTTCACTGAAGGGGGGATTGAACCCCAGGCTGGCGTGTCGATGCACAAACACGGTACCTTGTATCATCGGTTACCACTACCCCACTCAAATGTTCAAAGTTCAACTCTGGAGTCCAGCAGGATTGAGACTCTGGCAGCGAGACACCTCACGATCTCATCACCACTGTTCCACAGCATCCCAAACACTGGCTTTACGTTCCCAACCTCTGAGGGACCTATCTTGATGTTGATAGACCAACACACACCAAAAAACGGGTTCAAGGTTTAGACCTTCTTCCTCCTCCGAGGCGCTAACTATTCTTTGACGCGCAAATGAGTCCTCCAGGACCAGAAAGGCTAGGAAAATGGGATATGTATTGTCGACCGACTCGGACAGCACTTTTCCCAGGTCATCCACGAGTCTTCGAGCTCCCGGCATGTTTGTTACCTGTCTGCGGAGTCAATCGTAGCCTATTCAAGTGACGCCCAGGATTTACTTCCGCGGATCGTTTTTGTCGGCGTCGATCCTTGCATGGTTAGGGTCCGCCCGCATCCTGTGCAAGATTAGGCTAAGGAGAAGGTTTATTGGACCCAGCGCCTTCAAGTTCTGGAAGGATGAGATAGATATAAGGTGCGTACAACCGCCTCTTCTCCGAAGTTCTTCTCATGGCATCGCACCGACGCAGACGTGCTTTGCTTCCACGGAATCAATCTTGGCTCTCTGATCTAAACATTGCGACGCGGTAGAGGATTTACTCCAACAGCGACGACCTTTCTGTCTCTAAAGCAACATATAGAGCATTGAGACAGGTATAAAGTGCGTGGAAACGTTTCTGGATGTTCCTTCTGACCATCTGATCTAGTAACGTCGTTGGATGGAACATCAATTGAAGCGCGAGGGCAGCGCTTTCCGGGTTAAGCAGCTCCGGGACCATAAAAGCCATTTTTCCGTGCCGTGCCATACTCACGTCAGGGGAGGGCTGACTCCCGGTATCGCTCTGCTGTTTGGGTATTCCATTTGCAGAAAGAAAATTTTCGCTCCTGTGCAGCTCGCGGAACTGGGATAAGTATCCTCGACTTTCAAAGCCGTAGCTATTCCAGAAGCGATAAGCCCGAGTGTCACTTGATCCTCTTTACGCAGCGGAGCCACTGTTTTCCTTCCACAGGGGGCGGAACGGCCCATTGGTTGCAAATGAGTATTCCTCATCACGTTTCTTCAAAACGTGATAAAGATAGAGTATTCTTGTACGATGTCTGAATGTACATTTTATTGGATTAACAAAGGTGAAGACGGTATTGAGAAAATATACATAGAAAAATGAAAAAAAAAAAGGTTTAAACCATTAGTCTGCCCGACTTCGCCAACTCGATTCTAGGTGACCATCCAATCCGACTTTCTCATCTAACTCAGGTCGTTCATCCGACTATGCGAGTAGGCCACCCTGTCCATTGAGACCATCATCTTCAGGCCTTCTGAGAGCCTTGTTGACAATCCTACAAGAAACCCGGATAACCTCCCGGAAACCCACATCGGTGATGTCGAGCGCATTTTGAATATGTAAGAACCCTTTGACATGGATCTCGAGCTTCTCAAGGTCCGCCAGCGGCATTTGCCTAAGACAGCTGGTAGCGACCTCCAGGACATCGTTGACAAGATTGATCGGAGGAGCCGCTGTCTTCCGCTCTCCAGCAGGAAGCGGTTTGGAGTAAGGGGAAAACATTTGACCGAGCACCGCGCGAAAAAGGTCTGATGGATCGTGGTTGAGGAGGTACACTAGGGTGAAATAAAGATTGGATCGAGAGATGACACCCCCCACTGCATACACTATGATTGGGAGTTCTCCGGTTGCGAGCGGGGCTGGAAGGACCGGGGAGATCCCACAGTTCATCGCGAACATGAACAGCTTGGCGCCGACTATTAATCCCACGTCCGCAGCGTTCACCAAAGCGATGGCACAGTCGAGCCCAGGCATGGCAAGGTTGGGAATTGAGGCTTGAATTCCGTTCGAGTTTAGGCGGCCCAAGACCTGGTTATTAGACACCTCCAGAAAGTGTGGGCCAGTCGAGTTGATGCTGTCGCGGGTGTCGGGTGATAGGATGGGTGGGTCCTCCACGAAGATGTTGACCATATTGGGGTTGGCGCCGACAACTTCAACTTCAACTATGGCGGTGTCTGCCGCGTCGGGAGAGGGAGGCTGGTAGAGCATTGGAGAGAGTGAGATAACACTGCGGTACTGTGGGATGTGGCAGCCAACTTACCGAACGCCCTCAGTTAAATACTGCACGACACAATAGATGGCTTGTCGGGCTTTGACATTGGCCATAGTCCTGGGCATGGCGGGCATCGAGAGCCTTCGCTATTGGTTTGAGAGACCAAGACATGGACACCATTCAAGAAATTGCGTCGCTCGTGCATTGCCTAGTTCATTAGGAATTTCACCTGGCCTGAAGAGGTAAGCCTTTGTTCAAAGGTGGGCATCCGAGCTGGGGCCCGGCCGAGGCACCTGAACTGGATTGACCTCCGCGTTACAGCGAACTTGAACCCCGTTGAGAAGAGTGTCCAGGTTACGAGCTTTGGATCGCTGAAGAATATAGGCGACCGTTAGCATTGCCTAGTCTGGATCCGAGGCACTTAGAAGCTCGCAGGAAACGCGCGAAGAGATGCTCAAGATGTGTTACTGGCGCCGGAAGGAGTGTTAGAAAAATAACAAGAAAATATTAGAAATACAACATTACTTTTATCCCAATATAGTTACATTTCGTTTCCGGGAAACGGCCAGACATACGCATGGAGTTATTTGAGCTAGACTTGCCAGATCCCAGATGAAAGCATGGTTGGATGGAGATTCCAAGATCGATCCCTCTGTTTGCACATATTTGCTTCCCATCCAACCTCGATCACGTGACCAGATACATTCCGTTTTTCTCGACGTATATCTCGTGTCGGAACTCGCATTTCGTGTCATTTCTAGGTGCATATCAACATGATTTAACCTAAACAGACTACCTGATACTCTCCAGAATTTTTCAGCCAACTTTGACGCTTCCACAGATTCCCATTACGAAGTTCGCCCTCAATGGCTTCAGCCAATCGGCAAGCGTTCTACCTTTATGATATTCCAGACCATTGAAGCCTATTTTGATGACCAGAACAGGTGCTATCTCCATTTACTATCCAATTTCCGAATTCTGAACAAAGGACAGGCGCATCGCGACCAGTCTTTATGCCTTATTGAGGTGTATATTGAGATAACGGCTTATGAGCAGCCTTTTTGAAACTGATCCGCATGCTTCTTGTATAGTTTTTGTTCAAAGATGAATGTCGCCGCGACCTCAGCTACTCTTTCGAGGGTAATTAAACATAGCCTATCTTAGTGGTAAGGTCAAATTGCACTCTCAAATCGGCTCTGCATTTAGCACGGACCCCAGTCACTTGATGAAGCACTGTTGTCTTGCTAGGCTGTACAGTGATCATTCGTCTTTGATGTGCCACGCCGGCATTTTCGCGTTTTGCATTCGCGATGCAAGTGCCATTCTAACTGGGCTGGATCCCTGGGTCCCCGTTAACATATGAAAAGGCCTCAACCCTTCATAGGGCACCGTCTTATTTGAACGCAGAGCGCTTAATAGAGGGCACGTTTAATAGCCACATTTAAACCATTGGATTTCAGTCGCCCTCGTGTACCTTTCAACAAATTCTTTGCCGTCAGTACTCAGCGAAGCCATGTCCAAGTTTCCGCGATAATAACCATCTATCGATCCTAGGTCTTGCAAATTGAGGATCTCGACTCCGCCAGTTAGCTGTTTACCTATGAAGTTTCATTCAAAAACCTTCTCCCCAAGAGATCGACGCCCACATCAACAATGAGAAAGTATCGAGAATGAACATGGGACGAGGCCGTAGCACCGAACATGCGATCAAGGTCTGCGCACTCCAAAATACTCGTGAACATCGTGGTATTTCCTACAGTTCTACCTTGGGATCGCATTCCATCGGTTATCATTCCGAATGACGGAGACGTATGTGGCGTTGCTCATACGACCAACCACATCGTGGAACTGGAGGTCCGATATCAACGTCGACGCAGGCATTTTACGGTCAAAGAGATTGGGAAGGAACTATCAACATTTCGTGACCAGGAAACATTTTCTTGGAATAACGCGTTGCAGGTGTGTGAACAGCCAATATTATTCACAGAGATATCGGTGGACACCCCGACTGGATAAACCAGCAGTTGGCAAGCCAGACCACCACCGACTGCACTGACCTGCGACGATACTCGGCCTCCTCCTCTTCCAGATCATCCTCATCCTCGTACTCGTCCTCATCGTCACTCTCACAATCACTATCACTCTGATACCGTACCCGCTTCCTGTGTCTTCCCGCCTTCCTCTTCTCAGGCGGCAGTTGAC